AAAGAACTATCAACCAATTATCCTCAGACCAAATACGACCCCTCCCGACTTAATATGACTTCCTCTAAGGAATACCCAGCGATGATGTGCCCAGATCTTTTTGCTTTCGGTAGTCTTTTTTCTCTCGCAGATCAGAAGCAGGACAGGAGCTCCTCAGCCCGCTCTTATGCTCTACTTGTGACTACGAGTAAGTCACTTATCCACTGAGCTTGTTTCGGGTTACGATAAGGGACCATAGAAGGAGTGGGCAATAACTTACGCTTTGTGAAGAGAGAGGGGCAGTTTTAGGAAAGGAAAAAAAATCCTGAAAACCGCGTTCGTACATAACAAATATGAAGAATTTGCGAAAGAGCACAGTGCCCAATCGAAATAATTTTCAGCCCAAGATAAATCGTGACGATCTCGATCCAAAGATTCCGCGACACTGGAGAATACGCGACCAAAAACTAGGTAGGAATCGACTGACTCCACCCCCCTAGCAAATTGCCGTTATTCCTTATCCGAGGACGTTTGTGAGCGTAGCCATTAAACTCCCAACCAACCCTTTTTCGCACGTTCTGAGGATTTCTGAATTCTCACCACTCGCAGGTTTTTACCATTTTCAAAGAATGAACGCAAATTGTAATGCCAGAATACAAGGTGAAAGCACTTGCACACTCAACACTGAACTCATGGACACAATTCACGATTAGCAAAGACGAAGAAGTGGTTCGCAAAGGCTGTTGGGACCCCAACCTTAGAAATTGCGCCATTAGCGGCTCCAAAATGGGCGCAAAACCGTAATTAAAAGATAAGGATACTAACGGCGGAAGTGATGTAGAAGGGACACATTCTAGGCGCGGTTCAATATACCTAGTCATTTTGTAGAGTCCAGTAGACATACCCATTTCGGCCGGCTTCATAAAGCCCTGCGAAGCCAGGAAATGTAACGAGTTTCGTTTGCAGGCTGTTTCTTCCACATTTTTGGCTGCGTTCACACTTTACGGCGGCGTCCACCAGCGCCCAGTAGCGTCCACCAAGGTTCCAAGCGTCCAGCAGCGTCAGCGACCAGGAAAGTATAGATATCGATCTAGCCTCTGCCAGCGTCCACAGCGACCAGCAGCAGACTGCTAGTAGAGAATATGGCGCGATAGGAGGGTACCAGCTGCCTGCTACCCTCTGTCGCGCTATACTCTCTAATAGCAATCTGCTACCCCCTATCTCCCCACACTCCACCAGCTATCTGCTACCCTGAGCGTAAAACTCTGAATGCTGTTTCTCTTAGAGGACAGCACGGATGGTGGGTAATGGCAGAGAAATAGGGAAGGCTCCATTCAGCTAGATAGAGGAGAAAAAAAAGCATAAAAACCGTCTGAAGTGATCGGTATAGGACCACTGGAACGCGGAACGTCGTGGAACATGTCTTTTAAGCAGGGTAGCAGCATCGTTGTGTCAAAGCCCATGGGGGGGGGAGGTGCGTACTTTTGATCTGGGAAGGGGAGGCCCAAGCCCCGCGACCGCTCAACATTTTTCGCCGAACTATAATACTCATGCTCGTTGTCGACCGGAAAAAGCGTGGAGGTGTAGGGCGGGGGGGGTCGTGCCTGGACCGCAATTCGAAGAGGGGGGGGCCCCGCTCGTACTCACAACCGACATTTCGCCAGCATCCCCCATGCGTACCCTGTCGGTATAGGACCACTGGAACGCGGAACGTCGTGGAACATGTCTTTTCAAGATTAATCAGGGAAATCCAGTGAATTACTGATATGGACGAGCTCTCTCACATGGGAGACGTGTGGTATGACGTGTATGACTCTCCAACGGCAATGTATTAAATCGGTATAAATAAACTGGATTCTAAGCACTCATCCACAACTCCGAAACTAAAAGTCTGCAAGGACATATGTCAACACAATAAACTCAACGTTTAGTATCAGTGACGCAAAAGGACTTTTGAAATTAAATCACCCGATTCCGATAACTTAGTAAGTACTCGTCAATCTCTAATAATCGCACCATAGGACAAGTCTTTATTTCGAGTGGCTATATGTTGAAAGAATCCATAAAGGTGTCTAGGTATCGACAAAAAGGAAGCTTTTTTTGTAAGAATCAAAACTAAGAGATGCGCCATGTATTACGCCTTCCTGCTAGTTCGCCAAGGCCATTCGACCCGAAGGCTCCAAACGATAAAAAAACACAACTCCGGAAACATTACAGGCAGCACACGTACAAAGCTTTAAAATAGGGTATATTATCATGAGAGCAAATTTAGAAGGCGTGTCATGACGTGTACTATTGCACGCGGACCTCCCTTTATTTGAGATGAGTCATCATTTCGTAATTACGCCCCTGTTTTATGCTGAATCATCCCTTTGTATACCTCTTAGGGTTGAAGAGTATCGGAAGGAAATGAACTGTGTGTGGCTGGGGTGCTATCGGGCCCATGAATCGAAGCACGCCGTAATACTACAGTCACAGAAAGTCCGGCCCTTGGGGAAAAAGTTTTGCCAACTACGATTTCTTCAACTCCCCACCCCTTCAGTAGGTTTTCCCTCTGCTAACGAACCTTTAGCCCCTTCCCCATCCATGAGCAGCGCCATCGCGTTGTGGTCCATTTACTGGAAAAATACAAGCCCTGATTCCATGCCCAAATACAACCCCTTCTCATGCTACGCTAACAACTTTCCAAGATTTTCCCAACATCCACCCAATTTTACATTTTTTTTCGAAAAATCTCGCAGTTTTTGAGCCTGAAAACTTTCCGGTCGAAGGGGGGGGGGGGGGAATATATGCCGCATGTTAAACCAGGAAAGATCTCTTAAAATTTCCCTAACCTCCTCCCTACCAAGTTCGCTTTCCGAGATCCAAAAAATTCTGGTTTTTCCCCAAAAATTTTGGGCTGTCGAGGCGGGGTCTTCAGAATTTAGGTTATCACTTATTCAACTATCGGAAACTAGTAGTTTGTATAGATCTTTGTACAGTCCCTCTCGCAACAGCGGCCAAAAAACGACGCCCCCCCCCTTGTCCACTTTAATAGCGTCCCGTGAAACAAGAGAAATCAAATATTAAAAAAAGATTTCTAAGACCAAATCACGACGCCTCTCCTGGCGATCAAAAAGACCGCACCCCGCCCCGTTGTGATGCATCACACGATGTTGCTCTGCCCATTGTCTTCCTTATACCAACTTCTTCAAAAACCCAACTACCAGCCAGTTTTCTGAGGATTTTCTTCAGTTTTCACTTACCGTCGAGGGAGGGCGATATATAGCGCACTCAACAGAAAACATTGAGAAAAGTCAACGAAAACATTGTCCTCGAAACCAAACACGACTCCCTCGCTCGGCGACCCTCAACGTACGACCTGCCCTCCCTACAATTCGTGCACGCCACCCGCACCCTTTTTTGGATAGGCTCGTACATTGGTTACCAACTACTCGTCGAGTGATCGCTACCAATCGCATTGATGACCATAAAACATGCGTAACTAGTAATTCCATGGTCATGGAGCCAGAAGCACTGCATGTTATTTCGCAATTCTTCCGCATACGTGGGGGGTTCGCTGATTAAACAAAAACTCGTGTAACACTGCTGTCAGATAGTTGAGCTGGCACAAAGAGGCACTGTTCGAGGGCACTGTGCCACATGTACTAAGCTTGCGTAGGCTTCCTTGCGTAGGCTTGCGAGGTTGGTTCAAGGGTTACTGGATAAATACAAGTGTGTCAACGATTAAGGTCAATTCAGAGGAAAAACAATAGCACATGTTACACCGAGTGGATTAACAAAACGCCTACAGTGTCGGCGTAAAAGGACACTAGGGCGGCGACTGTCCCGTGGGTGGTGTACAGTCATGATTCCCGCAACTGATATGGACTAGGAGGGGCACAAGTTTGGAGCGCAGCTAGGGCAGATTTCCCACCAAATGTAAAGGGCTCAGGATGGCGCCACTGTTGGAAGACCGCTCTACTCCAAGCGCCGCGTCACGCCCTGTCGTTTGCGGGGATCTAAATGGGGCCAGTAGTCAAGGGATCAGATCCCGTCCGCACCAAACAAGCTCTCCATTCCCACGAGGTTGGTCAGCAGCTAGCAGTATTGTTCGAGAGGTAAAACCCATTACCTGTACCGTTTCTCTCTATTACTGTATGCCAAAGAACGCATTCAGTCTTATCCGCGAGCATGATATCCTTTGCAATGTGGGGAAAAAAACCTAGTTTCGCTCCATCAAAACCCAAATGGCATAACTAATACACACGATTTGCTTCACCAACAGTTTTTTTTCCTAGTCTTGTCAGAAACCAGGAGCGCACCTCACTTCTAAAACCTTTTTTGTGGATCTAGGGAGAAGGTACCTAAAAACGCGATCCGCGACTGTAAGTCACGGGCTTTGGGAGCGAAAGTGCAAAATATGAATTCATAGGCACTGACTTGACAGGAAAGAAAAGAAATAAGAAAATCGCGACAATGCCCTTGATAAGGACCCAGGATTGAACAAAAATCCCAAAAAGCGAGATACTGCTGCGTGGGAGAGACTACAAAGTAAGAGCGAAAAAAGGGCGAAGAAGAGAAGGGAATATACGGATCCCATGCGAAATTACCGCAAAACGACACCCATGTATCAAAAGATATAGAACGCTAGCATACCTTGCATCATAGTGGTTGAGGCACTTTCTACGGGTGGCATCTGCCTTTTCCTAGCATTCAGGAGGAGCTGGTGAGGGGGGGGGTAATCTACCTTCAGCAGTTCCTCCTGAGTTGGGATTGAGGACTAGCCTACCTGTACAAAGAAAAGATGCAACCTAGCGCGGAGTATGAGTTTACATGTCATGAAAAACGCCACGAGGCAGGCCTACAAACTTCTAATCTACCTCTTTCCCCTCGCCCACAGCCGCTCTACTGCAATCTCAATTAGATCATCGTCAAGGAATTAAAGAAGTTGCCATAGGCTGACACTCAAAAAGGTAGCAAAGACAAAAACTAAAGAATAACACCAATATTTTTCCTGGAAAAGAATTCAGTGGAACTCCAAGGTACTCTTTCGCCGAACAATCGGATTGAAGGAGAGCCTTGCAAAGGACCGAAACAGAGAAATTCAATCAGTGCTCACCCCTTCCCTTGCAATCCGTTTCTTCGTTGCCACCACCACCTCCGGACTGGTCTCTTTATCTTCTGTTGAGTTGGACGGTGCCGAAGACGAGGCTTCTACGTTAATAGGATCCTTCGTTGGTTTGCTTTCCACTTCTTTCTTAAAGAGTCTTCGGCGGAGGTAATCGGACTCAGGTGTTCGATCAGGAGATTCAGAAGGTGAAGCACTGACTCTTTTAGGGCGAGTTTTTTCCTTCTAAAAGAAACCGGATTACTTCAAGGTATCACCACATGATGCAACTAAATAGATGAGAAAATCGAGCTACCTAGCTCTGCTGAAGAAGAGACCTACTAAAGATTCATGTAATAAGAATCAAAGACAATAGTCGCACCTTAGAAACAACCTCCTCTTTCATTTTTTTGCGCTTAGGAGCTGGAGCATCCTAAATTCAAAACAGTACAATGAGCGACAACAAATAGACCAGGACTCGTTTCTCCCCTAATACAGAAGGAACTGACCTCGAAGAGCGTAGAAATCTCATCTTCACTAAGTGGTCGTCGTTTGCTCGACCCAGCTTTCACTTGTCTTTTTCTTCAGATGGCACATATTCTTTTCCCTTTTTCTTGTCCTTCACTTCTTCAGATGGCACGTATTCTTTTCCCTTTTTCTTGTCCTTCACTTCTTCAGATGGCACGTATTCTTTTCCCTTTTTCTTGTCCTTCACTTCTTCCGATGGCACGTATTCCTTTTCCTTTTTCTTCTTTCGTTTCTTCTCTTCCTTCTTCATTCTCTCCAATTCCGCGAGAGGAGTGGGGATGTACTCGGCAACTGGCTGTGCTGGCTTTTCTCGTGTTAACGATGGCTGAAATAGGGAACCAGCAAGATTTTCCAATACTTCTCAAACCTACACAAGAATTAGGGAGGCAGGATACCCACTAAAGAATTAGGTGTGCACTTTACTTTAGATCCTCTTAAAAGTACTACTCCAGGAGAGAAACTTCTAAAGGTCACACCACATAACACATACCGCGGTTCTCCGAGACCTCTTGTGGGCAGAAATCATCGACTGCTATCCAAAAATCATAGCGGAAAATTGGTTCTTCAGCACAAGTGCCTTCATATGGCCTTGAAACGATCCCAGGCAGTAATTCCATGCCAGCCACCTCTTGCTACCTCCAATATCTCATTGTAATAGAGTAGAGTGGAGTTCGTACTTCTCCAAAACTGCGTAATTCATTCCATCTTCTCAAAGCTAATTTGCAATCCCCGATCCCCGAACCAGTTGCAACCTTGCTGAAAATTTCACAAAGACGGGTTACTGTTCCCATCTGATCCATTATCGCGGTTCTCACGCATGGCGAATCCTCCAATTTCCCAACGTATGCGAAAAAAACCCACTCAGAAAGAAAAACGAAAAAATTCGTTTGGAACCAACCTTGCGTGTGATGCTGCTATCAGGAGCGGTATCCTCAGTCAAATCAGTCAGAGTAGTGCTTTCATCCAATAATTCTCCTTGAGGAAGAACATCATCAGCTGCTGTGCCTACGATTTTCTTGGCCTCTTGTCGTAACTGCAAAGGATTTACCAGATTATAGAATTGAATCCTCTCAAAGGTCCAAACACCTGCTGTGAGTTTGCTTTTGGTTACGGAGGCTCATTCTCGGACAAACAGGACGGAGGGTTCTAACTCAATAAGATAATTCATATGGGAGCTCTGATTCTGATGGCTGCACAGTTTTCATATCTCTGCATCCAATTACGTCTCGGGTTTGGAACCGCTCCTAAGTGGGATCCATTTGGCGCTCCCCCACATAAAAATAACACTATCGATTAGGGAAGTGCAGATGAAATCGATACCGATCAACATAGGTTTTTTCCTTGGAGGCTCTTCTGTAATGGCAGCATGCGAAGAGCGAACACACCAACCCTCATAAGAGAATCGCCCTATTTCAAATAGTACGAAGCTTCGCATTAGTTCTCACGAGCATAGCGGTGGGCGATTTAAAAGTGAGCTTGTACGGCAGCGGAGTTGGCTACAGTAGCAAAGCCTGTCAAGTTGAGGTAGAAAGCGGCCTTGGTAATTTAGTGGTTGGCATGCCAGCCCGGTAAGCGTGAGATGCAGGTTCCAGTCCTTTCAGGGTTGCATTCTACTGCCCATCACCCACACTCTTGTGATTACTTCAATATCTTAAATTGTGGCAACAAACAGCGTTAAAAGGATAAAGGATAAAGTCTTCGCCGTTGATCAATCCCTGTGGGATGCGGCACGCATTCTACTTCCATTCAGAATCGTAGTGGCTTATTGAATGCGATGTGGCCTATACAATGACTTGCGGTGGCCAGCCGATGTACAAGTCAGTGTTTTATCCTCCCAGACGAATCTGGTACCAATTTACCGTCCCCGGAGGGTAGAAGGCTTGGTTGGCCTGGGCGGGTGTCGACCCGGGATTCGAACCCGGCGCCGCGCGAGTGGTAAGCGCGCCACTTGTCACTACACCACCTCCGCCTCAAACAGCGTTATCATCAAAAAAAACTCATTCAATCATACCTGCTCCTGCAATTTCTGCAAACGTTCAATTTCCTCGTTGAGCCTAGCGACTTCACCAACATACTCCTTGAACTTTTCGGATTTCGACTTTGCTTGACGTGGTGGTAAGCCAACCTAAAGAAGCTCGACGAACTTTGAAGGACCACTCTTATCTTATCCACTATTCACTGCTGATGATGGCACTTATAAGGAAGGGATTGATTTGGCGCCGCGCCAGCCTATTTGCAACTTTTTTCTGTGAGAAACAGGATTGTATCGTATTCGTTTTCCACCGGATGTGGCTATCCCGCTTCAGCGACTGGTGGATAGTCTGGCAGGCCAAGTCCAGCCGCACTGATGCGCCCCATTATCCGCAGCGAACAAGACTAATGTTTTTTTTTGTACTCACTTTCGGCAGAGGGAGAGATTTGATCTTCTTCGCAGTGGAACTCTTTAAGCCATCATTCGAATCTTCATCCATGCTACTCTGCGATCTGCTGGACAGATGTGAACAATCCTGCGAAAATGAATTGCTGAAAGTTAACTGTACTGCCATACTGTCACCACTTTTCGTTATCCTGTCCGATAGTCGATGAACATGCCTGCTAGACAGGGACACCTTCAACCAGTTAACCTCATAGCAATCGGTTCTGAAAATCTCCCCACTTAATAAAAGTATTTCCTCAGTATTACCAGTTGAGATGACGAAGATTCGCTTTTCTTAGCACACAGCACGGTGTTACCCTCGCGCATGTCAACGTCGCCATGTGTATCCGAAAAGGGTGCTGAATAAACTGTCTCTGCAGGTACTGAATAGGTCACTTGGAATGATGGCGGAGCTGGTGCATAGCCTAAAGTTGCTTCATTAAATTAGGAAAAGTTGCAAAAGAGCAGGAAAGGATATCACACCGGTAAATGAATCATTGCCAAGGAGTGCAGGCTCTTCGGGTGCGTATTTTGACAATGTCGCATAGTATCCATAAGAGTTGGCAGGAAATCCGGTTCCATCGGATGTTGTTGGCTGTTCACTCGTTGAGGAAATATAGGCTTGATATCCATAGTCTTCAGCAGCATAGGGTCTGCTAGCCCCTTCTTGGTGGTCATTCGTTGAAGTGGTCATTGTGCTAGAAGCGAAAGAATAAAATTATGAATGCACGCCCCGCGTTCAAGATTGGTGATATGTGCGGCTCAAAACTAATGGAGAGATGGTAAATAATATAAAAGCAAAAAAAAACACTGAAAAGCCGCCCAAGAGCCCGTATAGAACCCTGTGCTATATCGCTTGTATAAGACAGAAAAAGGGCTTGGTCTGACGAGTTCTTAGTTGCTGGTATTAGATTTTTCTCCTTATCATCCCGCTTTCACCATTCGAAGTAAAGAAAGTTAGTAGCGGAACAGCCGCACCACTAGGTGACAGCTAAAAATGAAAGTTGGGAGTAGCCGTGGCCAGTGGGCGGAGCCGTGGTCCCGCTGCCAGCGGCGGCGCTTTACCCGTGTGGCTCACATCGTCGAAAGAATATCATTATATTCGTCGAAAGAATATCATTATATTAGAACAGAAGAAAGATATTTCCTAAGAAAAGGTTGATACAGACCGGCTCGCAGCGCATGATGGGGCGTGTCCGCACGGCCGTTTGGCGCGCCGCCGTATACATTCTCCATCAGCTGTTTGAGCGGGTTAAGTGACAACAACTGGTGAGAGACGACTGATAGGAACGATATGATACAGTCTTACAGCTTTCTCAGAGAGAAAAAAAAGAAAAACGGGTTGATAGGACGCTAAAGCAGCCGCGCGAACACAGCCCATCATCCACAGCAAAGCAGAATATATTCTTCCGGACAGAGTAACAAACTAAATATATCACGTCAGAACTCACGCATTGTACGCGCCAGGAGGCACCGGTTCCAAGGGAATTGTCTTATACGATGAATTGTCACACATTTCTTACTTCTAACTGAAATAATCGCGTGTCACTGAAGTAAAAACTGCGAATTCTGGGATAAATTACGGTAGGAAGTTGTTAACCTATCGTTAGTAACACATCTAAACAACAGAAACTATGGGGTTACATTGATCAAGCATTGATTATTTCTGGCACTTTTTAGGAGGTAGCCAACTAAGCAGCTCTCGCTTCTAACCAGGGCACATTTTAGGAGGTAGCCAACTAAGCAGCTCTCGCTTCTAACCAGAGCACATCCTGGCGCTGGGAAGAACTTCTACTGAATACGATTCGTAATTCCCGCAACCGGTAATCAATCAGTTTACCAAACTTTCCGAAAAATTTGCTGCCGGACGGGCGAGGGGATGGGATGACAGATTGAAATATTAGCTTTGTTGCGCAGCGTACGAGAAGGCAGACGGTGCGCATGAAGCTCAAAACAAACCTTCGCAAAAATTTTGCCCAGGCCAAATATGGTCCACCTCCCTTTCAGCAACCAAATACAACCTCCGATAGAGATTCTTGAAATGCCACGTTCCTGATTAACTCTCAATCTAACAACTATAGCGAACATTCCCTATGGTTTACCTTGGATTCTAGATGTCAAGGTGGAGCATTTTGTTTAAAACGGCGCTTCGGACAGATGCCCGTCACTATTTGACCTTTACTGCCTCACACGCCTAAATTCAAGCCGGACACCGATCGAACAGCATCCCAATGGGTGGATCTCTTTAGGATTCTGCCCTCCAGGAGTATATATCTCTCCACCTAATCTGAACCCGATCATATCCGCTTGACTAGGAACCGCGTGGCTCCTTCGCCAATACTTAATGTACTGGAAACTTTTCAGAGGTGTTTAGATCCAGCACAAAAATGCTTTGTACGTGCGCTACGAGCGCCAAACCTCGTCAGTTTGCTCCGCACAAACCCCGGAGAAAAAACGATCAAAGTGAGGCTCGCCTTCCTCAGAATGGGGCAGTAAGGGGCAAATAACGCTGGAAAGGACTAGAAGCATCTCGACATAAAATCACATGCCACCTATCCTGCTCAACTTATTCTTTATCTTTGACCATTTGCAACTCTATTTCGGCCACCCCCACCTCCCTACCCTCCCGTGCACCCCGCCCGCCACCCCACCCCAGCCAGGGAATTCCTTTCACAAAAGGATTATCTGATTCAATAGCTCAACAACGGAAACAGCGCGTAAGCCATACCATTACCCCTACGGCGGTACACGACGAATTTTTCTGCTCCTTCCGTTGAAAAAAAACCCCATGATTGGATGCCTTTTCCCAGAAGAACACTAAACTCGCAACCGGCCAAAAAGAAAGACGACGATAACCAGAAGACAGATAGCATGGAAATGAGTGTCGAAATGCTATTTTTGAGGGATGCGGTCTTTTCGAAACGGCTAGCCGTGAGTGTGCACTCATACTTTGCGGCAGCGTTTAGAGGGTCCGCCAGCGTTTCCAGCTGTAATCGATATCTATGCATTCTGAGTCGCACGAAACGGTCGTGAACGCTCAAAACTCTAGCTCATTTAGGAACTTGTACTTTCTCAGTCGTTCAGAGCGCTGGTGGACACTGAAAACGCTGACGCAAAGTATGGATGCACTCCAGGTTTTCCGACGCTGTATACAACTTTCTGCCTGATTCCATGGAAGACAGTGTCCAGGAAGATGGCCCTCTACTTAACTAGACTAAAACAGACCTTCTTGACAAAAGAACTAAAATCGACACCACGACTAGCACAGTCACTTCTACAACCGCTACATCGGGATGCACACGTTGAATGAGATA